ACGGATTGTTGTCATTGATGGGAAAAATGAATTCCAGAGTTTATCAAGACATTTTGCAGTAAAACGTACGACCATCTGTCCGCCAACTGAAGCTCCGCAGAGGATGGGTGATGCAACAGGACAATGACCCAAAGCATACAAGTCATTCAACAAAACAATGGCTGCAACAGCACAGAATACGCCTTCTGGAGTGGCCCAGTCAGAGTCCTGACCTCAACCCCATTGAAATGCTGTGGCATGACCTTAAGAGAGCGATTCACACCAGACATCCCAAGAATATTGCTACACTGAAACAGTTTTGTGAAGAGGAGTGGTCCAAAATGACTCCAGATCGTTGTGCAGGTTTGATCTGCAACTACAGGAAACGTTTGGTTGAGGTTATTGCTGCCAAAAGGAGGGTCAACCAGTTATTAAGTCCAAAGGTTCACATACTTTTTCCTCCCTGCACTGTGAATGTTTACATGTTATGTGCAATTAAACCATGGCAACATCTAATGTTTGTGTAGTATTATGTTCAGCAGACTGTGTTCTTCTATTGTTGTGACTTAGATGACGTTCAGAGCACATTTTATGCCAATTCATGCAAAACTCCACGGAATCCCAAGGGGTTCACATACTTTTTCTTGCAACTGTATATATTGTAACTTTTTTTTTATTACAGATACCATTTTTGCTATATAGTGGTTTTTACAAGGGGTGGGGGCTCTGATCTAACACATGGGGCTTGCATTATACTGCTAATTCTGCTTTAACTCTTTCCTGTGACTGGGTATAATAAATCACAGATTGGCTTTCCAAGCCAGGCTCTGGTTCAGTTGACATCTAGGCGATTCTTCCCACGATCCCAAAACTGACAAATCTAACCACGCTTGTTCAGGTGCCATTCATTTTCAATGGTACCTAAATGAAGGTGCGATTGTGCCATGATTGTTGCAGAATGAATTATGCTGCAATGCAATGGCGGCAAACCACATCGCTCGAAGCTTGCTACTCAAAAAAGGAGCAGGAGCTTCTTTTGGGGTGGTGACAAGCTTCACAAGATGCAATTTGCGCAATTGCATCATAATTTATCACGCAACAATCGCAGCAGAGTAGCACTACATTTAATATGCCATTGAAAATGAATGGCACCTGAACTTGTGTGGTGCGATTTCTCATTTTTGCACTGCGTTTTTGGATTGTGGGCAGAATCATCGTGATTCTACCCACGATACAAAATGCCTATATGTGAACACATATTTCATTATACAGTGCACCTTAGCAGAACATCAAGGTCATGCATAGGGACAATTTTGTTATATTCATGTGACTATCCAAGGATGTAATTCTAGATATGGAAGACCACATGACTGTTATGAGGCCTAGAAGCACAGGGGTTCCAAAGTTATTGAGGAAAGAACAAAGAGAGGGCGCACAGGCCTAGAGCCCTCTGAGAAAGAGGCAAGTTCTCGAAATGCGTCAGCCTATTGAATGTCTACACTCCCTATTGCGGACTGTTACTCAGCGCGGTGTTAACCAAGCTGTTTCTTTGTAACGTGCCTCTACTTTATTGTCGTTTTGTAAGTACAACACTTACTTTATTTCTTATTAAACATTTTTTATGGTAATACACTAGGCCTGTGCGCCCTCTGTTTGCTCTTTCCTCATTCCGTAGGTTTGGATTTCCCAGCCTATTGAGGGCAGCAAGGTGTGCATGTTTCAGGACATTCTTAATGTGGTTGCAGCCTGCATCGAGTCCATCCCCCAAGCACAGGAGCATTTGTGTTTGCTGGTTCTTTGTTCCAAAGTTATTTCGTTACACGTTAATCCATGCAAGTCGCTATGACATTTGGCAAATATTTTTTGAGTTAAAATAATGTATAAAAAAAAAGTGAGAACCTTGTATAGTTGCTATGAAAATATTTAATATACTTTATCACTAAAGAAATAATCTATGAGATAGAGAATAGAGACACAGAGAACCACTTGATGGTTATGCCATGCTGCCCCCTAATTGTATAGCATGGTTGTTTTAAAGTGATTAACTTTCAGACCTTTAGAAAAGAGAATAAGGAATGAGAATCAAGTTTTTTATCTTGCGCACAAAGTAATATTACCATGCTACCAAACAATTACATTTTTAAAGAGGTAAAAAGTCATAGCTGGCTACATATTGAAATAGAAAAGCAAATTTATTGACATAATAAAAATCACAAAATTACTTTTTCAGCAATTTTATATATATGGTATATACAGTGTACAGTATATATATAGTTGTTATACTGTTTATTGAAGCTTTACATGTATGCTTATGGGCGCAAACTACTCACATGACCTGTATGAGCCAATCTTAATCTGTTCCTAGGATACATCAACAGTATAGCGCAGATATAGAGTGCGTGTGTGTGTGTATATATATATGTACGTATATGTGTGTATATATATATATATATATATATATATATATATATATACATACAGGTGAAACTCGAAAAATTAGAATATCGTGCAAGAGTTCATTTATTTCAGTAATGCAACTTAAAAGGTGAAACTAATATATGAGATAGACTCATTACATGCAAAGCAAGATAGTTCAAGCCGTGATTTGTCATAATTGTGATGATTATGGCTTACAGCTCATAAAAACCCCAAATCCACAATCTCAGAAAATTAGAATATTGTGAAAAGGTGCAATATTCTAGGCTCAAAGTGTCCCACTCTAATCAGCTAATTAAGCCATAATACATGCAAAGGGTTCCTGAGCCTTTAAATGGTCTCTCAGTCTGGTTCAGTAGGAATCACAATCATAGGAAAGACTGCTGACCTGACAGTTGTGCAGAAAACCATCAATGACACCCTCCATAAGGAGGGAAAGCCTCAAAAGGTAATTGCAAAAGAAGTTGGATGTTCCCAAAGTGCTGTATCAAAGCACATTTATAGAAAGTTATGTGGAAGGGAAAAGTGTGGAAGAAAAAGGTGCACAAGCAACAGGGATGACCGCAGCCTGGAGATTATTGTCAAAAAAAGCCATTCAAAAGTGTTGGGGACTTTCACAAGGAGTGGACTGAGGCTGGAGTCAGTGCATCAAGAGCCACCACACACAGACGGATCCTGGACATGGGCTTCAAATGTCGTATTCCTCTTGTCAAGCCGCTCCTGAACAACAAACAACGTCAGAAGCGTCTTACCTGGGCTAAAGAAAAACAGACCTGGTCTGTTGCTCAGTTGTCCAAAGTCCTCTTTTCTGATGAGAGCAACTTGTGCATCTCATTTGGAAACCAAGGACCCAGAGTATGGAGGAATAATGGAGAGGCACACACTGCAAGATGCTTGAAGTCCAGAGTGAAGTTTCCACAGTCTGTGTTGATTTAAGGAACCATGTCATCTGCTGGTGTTGGTCCACTGTGCTTCATTAAGTCCAGGGTCAACGCAGCTGTCTACCAGGAGATTTTGGAATACTTCATGCTTCCTTCCGCAGACGACCTTAATGGGGATGCTGACTTCATTTTCCAGCAGGACTTGGCAGCTGCCCACACTGCCAAAAGCACCAAAACCTGGTTCAATGATCGTGGGATTACTTTGCTTGATTGGCCAGCAAACTCGCCTGACCTGAACCCCATAGAGAATCTATGGGGCATTGCCAAGAGAAAGATGAGAGACATGAGACCGAACAATGCAGAAGAGCTGAAGGCCGCTATTGAAGCATCCTGATCTTCCATAACACCTCAGCAGTGCCACAGGCTGAAAGCTTCCATGCCACGCCGCATTGAGGCAGTAATTGCTGCAAATGGGGCCCAAACCAAGTACTGAATACATATGCATGCTTAAACTTTTCAGAGGTCCGATATTGTTCTATGTACAATCCTTGTTTTATTGATTACATGTAATATTCTAATTTTCTGAAAATGTGGATTTGGGGTTTCATGAGCTGTAAGCCATAATCATCAGAATTATGACAAATCACAGCTTGAACTGTCTTGCTTTGCATGTAATGAGTCTATCTCATATATTAGTTTCACCTTTTAAGTTGCATTACTGAAATAAATTAACTTTTGCACGATATTCAAATTTTTCGAGTTTCACGTGTGTGTGTGTGTGTGTGTGTGTGTGTATATAAGTGTGTGTGTGTGTATATATATATATATATATATATATATATATACACAGTAGATTACAATATAATAATACCAGTAAGTCAAACTGAATTTTCAAATTCACATTGGATGTACTTATATGAGATAATCTGAGAAACAACTCAAAGCAACTCAAAAGCAGTCCAAAGCAATTTGTAAGCTAATCATAAGCAACTCAGCTAGACAAGAGCAAGTCAAAGCCAGTATAGCTGCCAATCACAGGGTCAACATAACCAGCAAATTTCCTGTCACTAAGAAGGGTAACTGTTTATACCGCCACTTACTCTGAAGGAGAGGAAACACATAAGAGTTTGTATCAAAAGAAACAATGAGCAGGTCAAGGAAATGTTTTACATGTTAAGAAAAGGTCAAGGTACAATTCATGAATCAGGAACTGAAGAGAAGGACCATAGCCTCTGGATAACTCACATGGAATTTTTTTGTAAGGAGCAAAAACTTCCTAGGTTTCAGTCTGCACTACAATTATGCATGTCTGAAGGCCTCATAGATGGTACAAAGCCTCTGGATAAGACATTATCATACAGGCATATTTTAAATAAAGAGCATAAACTGCCCAGTTTTTGTCGGAAACATCTCAGAACTGCACTAGTAATATACTGTATATGTTATAAGCCCTCATATTCACCAAGATTTATAGCACTGTTCAGATTTAGCTGAAGCTCCTTGGATTTAATGGGGAGAATGCATGGAGAATCTTTTACAAATGCAATGTAAAAAGGTGACCCTAACTGGCAATACATAACAAATATCTCAGAAATAAAGAAGAATGTATAGTTATCTGTCCACTCTTAAAGTGTTACTAAACCCACAACAGTAAAATCATACTGTATATGTAGTAAAGCATGCTTGTTATACTCACTATAGAACCTAAGGGGTTAATCCTCTGCATTGTGTAAAAAGGCTGTTTGATCCTTTCTTCTCTGCCCCTCCTCTTGTTCAAATGACCACCTGATACAAACTGAATCCACAGCCCCATGCACATTCTCAGTTTGTTGTGTATTGCTAGAGAGGTTTTTTTTTTTCTTGGGAGAGTGCATGTGATCAGCACAGGGCCAATCAGCACTTTCCAGACAGAGGTCAGGGGATTTCCATCCTCCTAGAAAAAACTCCTCCTACAAGCTTTAACCAGTGTTCTACTGAAGTCACAAGACTGCTCTAACTGCTGATGAGAAAAGGTATTTAGTAGTTTATATTAACTAAAATGATTACACCTCCATGCTCTGTGTACTGTGGAAGACCAAATATATACAGGGTCCTGGGTTTAGTATCACTTTATTTACTAAAGTTTAAATTCACTTTAAAGGTTTAAAGTGCATTAGGGAGGCAGGGTCAAGGGGGTCCAGGATGGACCTCTCAGTTAAAAATAGTATGTGCCACAATCTAAAATAGCAAGCTGTGTCATGGGACATTTGCAGCTGTGCAGCTCTGATGAGTCTTGATTTACTTTCAGTGTCGCTGTACACTGCAGCCACGGTCTTTAAAATTGAAGTGGCAAAGGTCTTGCTGTTGCCAACTGACAGGTAGCATCTTTCTTCTCATGATCTATCACTTTACCACAGTAATGGCCCAATATTATGGGATGAGATACAGGAGCCAAGGACCACAAAATATTAACAGAAATAAATAAATAAAAACCACAAAGTATTAGGATGTGGCTTAACCAGTTTACAACTGCCCGCCCACAATGTACTGTGAACAGGCGGCCTTTGTAGGCAAAGTGATGTATGGGTACATCGCTGCCTACTTCCGGGTTTCGGTTGCTCGCACGCCTCCCCCCCACCAGCATGTGATTGCAGAAGTCTGTCAACAAGTCCCAGCCAATGATTCCTGGCTGGAACCTGCTTATCAGCTGTGTACAATCACAGTTTAGAGCTCTGTGTTGGTAAACAACACAGAGCTCTGTACAGAGGGAGCTATCTGTAAGTTTCTCATCTCTGCAAAGCAATGATGAAAAACTTAGAGATCCTTTAGTAAAAGCTGCACACTTTACAAACATTACACATATTTAGGAACATATGTAACCCCTTGATTGCCCTAAATGTTAACCCCTTCCCAGCTAGTGTCATTAATGCAGTGACAGCGTATAGTATTACAACTGTATCATTGTCACTGGTGATGTCAGTGGCAGTTAGTGTCAGATTGCCTTCAGTCCCATTATAAGTCACTGATCACCACCATTAATAGTGTAACCCACTGAAATGTTATTACTTGCAATACATTAAGATGGACAGTATAAGGCGGTGGCCTGCCATTCAGGGTCACTCAAATGGACAGAACAGCTATCTGGAACTTGTGCCCTCCTCACCAGCATGACTCAGCTGGTGAGCAGGGCAGTCAGGGACTACATTTCCCAAGAAAACTAGCTTGTGGGTGGGGGCATATAAATATCTAAGCCCAGGAGATTTGCTAGGAGTGTGCAGGGAGATACTGAAAAAGAAGGAGTGCTGACGATTTAAGTGCTGATGTAGGCCATGGAGCCAGGCTTGGAGAGAGAGGAGGAGCGCAAAGAGCCTACTGAAAACCCTGTCTGCCACACTACCCAGCAGGCCAATCTGACAGCCGGAGACAATGTAGGGATGCCAAGTCCGAACCGGAGAGTGCATGGACTGATTCCGTATGCACAGAAAGATGGACTGCTATGATCCGCTGGACTACTTTGATCGGGTGAGAGAAACCCATGCACCCACTAATCAAGTGAATAGTGACAGTTTGCCACCTCAGCTATCTACCCACACATAGTTGTGAACATTACATATACAGTCAGGTCCATAAATATTGGGACATCAACACGATTCTACCATTTTTGGCTCTATACACCACCACAATGGATTTGACATGAAACAAACAAGATGTGCTTTAACTACAGACTGTCAGCTTTAATTTGAGGGTATTTACATCCAAATCAGGTGAACGGTGTAGGAATTACAACAGTTTGCATATGTGCCACCCACTTGTTAAGGGACCAAAAGTAATGGGACAGAATAATAATCATAAATCAAACTTTCACTTTTTAATACTTGGTTGCAAATCCTTTGCAGTCAATTACAGCCTGAAGTCTGGAACGCATAGACATCACCAGACGCTGGGTTTCATCCCTGGTGATGCTCTGCCAGGCCTCTACTGCAACTGTCTTCAGTTCCTGCTTGTTCTTGGGGCATTTTCCCTTCAGTTTTGTCTTCAGCAAGTGAAATGCATGCTCAATCGGATTCAGGTCAGGTGATTAACTTGGCCATTGCATAACATTTCACTTCTTTCCCTTAAAAAACTCTTTGGTTACTTTTGCAGTATGCTTTGGGTCATTGTCCATCTGCACTGTGAAGCGGCGCCCAATGAGTTCTGAAGTATTTGGCTGAATATGAGCAGATAATATTGCCTGAAACACTTCAGAATTCATCCTGCTGCTTTTGTCAGCAGTCACATCATCAGTAAATACAAGAGAACCAGTTCCATTGGCAGCCATACATGCCCACGCCATGACACTACCACCACCATGCTTCACTGATTAGGTGGTATGCTTAGGATCATGAGCAGTTCCTTTCCTTCTCCATACTCTTCTCTTCCCATCACTCTGGTACAAGTTGATCTTGGTCTCATCTGTCCATAGGATGTTGTTCCAGAACTGTGAAGGCTTTTTTAGATGTCTTTTGGCAAACTCTAATCTGGCCTTCCTGTTTTTGAGGCTCACCAATGGTTTACATCTTGTGGTGGACCCTCTGTATTCACTCTGGTGAATTCTTCTCTTGATTGGTGACTTTGACACACATACACCTACCTCCTGGAGAGTGTTCTTGATCTGGCCAACTGTTGTGAAGGGTGTTTTCTTCACCAGGGAAAGAACTCTTCGGTCATCCACCACAGTTGTTTTCCGTGGTCTTCCGGGTCTTTTGGTGTCGCTGAGCTCACCGGTGCGTTCCTTCTTTTTAAGAATGTTCCAAACAGTTGTTTTGGCCATGCCTAATGTTTTAGCTATCTCTCTGATGGGTTTGTTTTGTTTTTTCAGCCTAATGATGGCTTGCTTCACTGATAGTGACAGCTCTTTGGATCTCATCTTGAGAGTTGACAGCAACAGATTCCAAATGCAAATAGCACACTTGAAATGAACTCTGGACCTTTTATCTGCTCATTGTAGTTGGGATAATGAGGGAATAACACACACCTGGCCATAGAACAGCTGAGAAACCAATTGTCCCATTACTTTTGGTCCCTTAACAAGTGGGTGGCACATATGCAAACTGTTGTAATTCCTACACCGTTCACCTGATTTGGATGTAAATACCCTCACATTAAAGCTGTCAGTCTGCAGTGAAAGCACATCTTGTTTGTTTCATTTAAAATCCATTGTGGTGGTGTATAGAGCCAAAAATGTGTTGCTGTCCCAATATTTATGGATCTGACTGTAGTTGCTCCAGTTTACGGCCTAGTTCTTCCAGCTGCCATTGTTGGGGTACATCTGCAAAACAATTCATCGTACAAGCTGACCGCAGGGCATACAGTTACAGGCCAGGATACAGCAGTGCCAACAGAAACAGCAAGTTTCCCTTTTTCAACAAAGCAGGATTCCTACTACTGTTCATTTTGCCTTTGATATTTAGATGGAGTTGTCCTTGTCCATAGACACTTACAGTATTCCAATTGTTGCTACTCATTACTTCAAGCCTGCCCTACATTTAGTGCTTCAAAGGGGACCCCGCTCTAGTTTGCTACCACCAAGAGGGAAAGTGTCAAGCCTTCCTTTTTCTGTCACTATCTCTGCGTTACCATCCTAAGGAACTATATCCTACACCTCAATTCAACTTCATACCAACTGGGCGACAAACAAGCGTGCAGAAGACACTGTAGTGTTCTTAAAGTCACAATGCTAAATCTCCAGAGAGATTTCTCTTTCCTTCACATCAAATCCTTGTCATCTAGTTCTGAGGACAAACAGTGAGCTTACCTGTTTCTTGACAGTTGTTCCTGCTCACTGGGAATTCAGTAGTAGACTGGAGGCAGTGGATTATTTCTGAAAGCAGGCCTGCTAACAGTTATTGTTCCTTTACTGTGAATGTCACATTTGTTCACAATAACCAAGAGTGATCATATTTGCTGCATATAACAGTGTCATTTTGTTCTTTTTTTTTTTACTAAGTTACCTTGAATTCCAGGATAAACTTCATATTGGTTTATACTAATTTGTGCGTGAGTTCATTTTATAGTTGTGATTTATTTTGGTCACAAGAGCATGGTGGTGTCAGCAGAGGTTGATCTTTCAGCAAGAGGTCCAGATTGACAGGGAATCCAAAAATTACTAAGCAAGCCTTAAGGGGGTAGTGATACAGTAGTGTAAAGAAAACCAATTTCAAGATATACCATAGTATATGCAAACCAATCAATATACATTTATTGAGATTTTTTTTTTATCAAAGACATGTAGCAGAATACATTTTGGCCAAAATGTTTGAAGAAATCTGAAGTTTTATAGCAGCAGAAAGTAAAAAATATTGGGTTTCTTTTCAAAATTTTCAGTCTTTTTTCATTTATATCGCAAAAAATAAAAAACCCAGTGGTGATCAAGTGCCACCAAAAGAAAGCTCTATTTGTGTGAAAAAAAAATATAATACAAATTTAATTTGAGTACAGCATTGCATGACCATGCATTTACCAGTTAAAGTAGCATAGTATAGCACAAAATGGCTTGGTCATGAAGGGGGTAAAACCTTCAGGAGCTGAAGTGGTTAAAGGATGTAAATATTAACAGAATGACATTTAGAGGCCAATTTCAAACGGAGAGTGGATTTTGCTATCCGCTCTATGCATCGCCTGCTTTTTACGTCTCATTAATAAAATTCAGGCTGATATGTAGAACCTATTAATGCTGAAGGAAGACCCTGTGATTGATGGAAAGGCTGGTCACATGACTTTAATGGGTCAAGTAACTATGACCTTCTCCTGGCAATGTTTTAACACACTTATGTAGTTGAATAGAACTCCACTTGCTTTGGAGTGCAGTTCATATTTTGTAAGAACAACACTCAATTGTTGTTACATACCATTGCCTCTGATATCCTGCAACTTGTTTGAAGCCACATCTTGATGCATTTTGGTGATCTTTGC